TGTTACATAATCTATGTAACTGATTCATAGGCACACGCAATCGGGGCATGTACAGCCGAATCGGTATGAATCGCGCGCACGGGCAATCAAAATTAGCACAAGACACCCGAAAACAAGTGTCGCGCTATCGCGACAAAACATCTACACGGGTGATGTCTTTGGCGGTTCGTCGCTTCTTTACGATAATGATCACCGCGACTCTTGAGCCGTCGTCGCACGGCCGCGTATGTTATCAAAATTCGAGGTAACCCGGGGTTACGAATAAGCCGCGCTTTGATGCACGATGACCGCGCGTAACCCGCTGAAGAGGGCCATAAATTCCGTAGGGCATCGGGAAAAATAAATGACGTAACGGCACCCGCGGTGTTGCTCGAGAACAACAAAGTCCTCAAGTGACACAGATACGGCGGGGTATATAAGCGCGGAGCAATTCAGCCTCCGGGGGATTCGAGCATTCGGGCATTCGAGCATTCGGGCATTCGGGCATTCTGGCATTCTAGCATTCTTTGAGTCTTCGTCTTTCGTCTATAATCATCGTGTTCGAGATAGCCTCCGTCGATAGCCAGTGATAACGCGGATAGCCCTCAGCCAGTTCAACCAGTGACCACCAAGTGTCAGCCCAGCGGAATAGCCGGAGTGTGTATTGCGTGAGAGAGAGAGAGAGAGTGCGAAATTAAATAGTGCAGTGTGTGCATCTCGTCAAGCAGTGTATCAACATAATCAAAAGTAAGAAATAAATATTATGTTTAATTGTAAGTCCAACATCAACTCATTACCTTCCACCAGCAGTATCGGCAAATAAATTATTAAACTTATAAGGGCGTATGTATAACGCTCAGTAGTAGAGCCGTAACATTGGCTATAATATGAGAGTGAATAAAGTATTACAGCGAACAGTTTCTAATGCAATTGGTAATTATGTATTAAAATTAAAAACATTGCCAAAAAATAAAAAAAGTTTATAGCACTGGGCTAAATTCATGTTTAGGTCCCCTTTGGCGAGATATAACGTGCTCATAGTAGCAGCTCAAGTCACATAGGCGTAAGACACTTATGACCCATTCTTACTACGGCACTAGCACCCTCGCTTCGCTTGGGTGCTAACCGCGCCGTGCAATAATGGCCTGCTTAAGTCACACGTATAATAATATACTATTTTTTATTTTGACCGAACCAAACGGAAAAGTGATCTATGTAACCAAAAAATAGTCTGCTCTAAGTTTCAGCTCATATAAATTAAGATAACCAGTGCCACCAGCTGCTTGAAGGTTTTTAATTTGATTTTAATTAGTTTTTACCGCTTTTTTACAGCAATATTCAAATGGCTCTATAGCCGCCAATTTTTAAGCGAATAAAAATTCAAACAAGTCAAATTAAAGGACTTAAAAAGACCTTTAATTTGCCTATTTCAAAGTTTTGATTGCATCAAAATTAATTGCTGTAGAGCCGTTTGAATAGTGCTAAAAATGGAAAAAATCGCAACTTTTCTAGTTTTCTAATAGCTGAGGTTTACTCGGAGAAACACTAATTTTTTCTAAACTCGGAGGTGTTTTTTCGTGTGAAATAAGCTAAAAAATGACGTAGGTTTCGACTGGAATATTGTATCCTAGCCTCGTATAGCAGCATTTGGAATATTCAATTGTTTCGTGTTTTCTTTGCTTTCATCCGTCTAATGCTCACACAATTTTTATTGTGAGGACATTCACAAAATACTGAAACATTTTCCACATACTACTGATGATTAAAAGCATCTGAAGACCCATTTTTTCAGCACCATAATGCGCTAATTGGTGCTTCAGAGCCAAATCTACAGCCAAATTAAAAATATAATCATGAATGAAGATAAAAATTAGAATCACGATTTCGAGTTTAGTTACACTATAGTATCCTTTATTTCTCACATATGCCAAAAAAAATTTGAAAACATCATGTTCAATGTATTTTTCGACGAGAAAACCAAAATTGATTTTTTGTACGGTGACCCCCATTTTTTATTGAAGATTTGAAAAGAGCGGATAATTTTACGTTCAAACGCATCTTTATTTTTTTTTAAAGTCATTTTATTCCATTTATTATACGAGATTATTCTAGGTTATGAAAGGTCTTTTTCCGTACATTATCACCCTTATATGACTATGAACATAACCTTAAAAAAAAACTATAGGTGTGATATTTCAAACGTTATTTTTCAGCTTAAAAATAATTTTGATCACTTTGTCAACTTTCCAGACCTCTGTGGCCATGATGCAAAGCTTTAAACACTTCTTCCGCCGAGAAGTCGAAGAAGCCAGGCTGACGTTTGAAG